CATAATTTATGATCCTCATTATTTTGTTGGTAAGCTAAATATGCACCCCAAGTCTTTTCAGAATACCAGTGGGGCACATTATGAATCAATAAGAGGAAATTGTACATCTGTTGTGTTTGTCGTCTTGAAAATTAGAACCATATTCTGCCAAGTGAAGCAATATGTAGGATTTTTCCTTCACTCAGTAGTTGGTCTTTGGGCATTTAAAAAGATAATAACAGTGATTATTATGTGGATTTACTCCCTTACTTATAAAATGGAGCATAGTTCCTCAGACAGATGGAGCGTAATGGCATATACCTCCTTACAGAGAAGTCTTGAAACCTTAAACGTCTCACCAGATCAGTGAATACTGATCACAACAACCAGTAGTATCTTCTGACTGGCTTTCTGAAGAAAGTTTGTGTAACAATTATTAATAATTTGGATCCTGGGCCTTCATTGGTGGTAAAAAATGTCATTAGAACAAATATATGTGGGGACCCTTTTATGACAGAGGGATGTTCCTAGTTGCACAGTGCACATGCCTGCATTGTACTTCTCTGTTTTTTATCATGTTTTACTTTTGATATGGCATATTTTACAGATATGCCTTCAGGTTTATAAGTGGTTCAAATTTATCAATTTGATTTCAAGATGGAGACATGGCTACAAAGAAGATAATGCAATTGTTTGGCTTTTACTTCATTAACCTATTTCGTTGTTGATTATAAAATTTTGTTTTCTTCAAGTGTGCTTCCTTTTTTCTTTCTTGTAACTAGTATAATAGTTTATATCGTGGACTTTAAGCTTGAACACCTTAGTATAAGAGAATCTAAATAGAAATGTAAAATGGTGTAGTGATTTTGGAAAATTATTTGGTTCCTCAAAAAATTAGACATAGTGCTATCATACTGGTATGAATTAGTAATTCCACTCCTAGATGTATATGAAAGAGTCCTGAAAGCAGGGCCTCAAACTTCTACACCAATATTTATGCATCATTATTCACAATAGCCAAAAGGTAGAAACCTATCCATCAATAGATGCCTGGATAAACAAAATGTGGTTTATGTCTACCAAATCCATTATCATGGAATTGATTCTGACCCTATAGGACAGAGTAAATGTGCTCTGTGGGGTGTCCCAGGCTGTAAATCTTTACCAAAGTTGACTGCACGATCGATCTTTCTCCTGAGGAGCACAGGTGGTTTTTTAAACCACTGACCACTGGTTAACTGCAGTCAAGCACTTAACCACTGAGCCAGGAGGGTTCCCTGTCTACACGTATATGCAGTGGGATATTATACAGCTATGATAAGAAATGAAGGATTGATACGTGCTATGATATAGATGAACCTTGAAAACATACTAAGGGAAATAAGCCACAGCAAAAGGTAAATATTATGTGATCCCACTTATATGAAATATCTAAAATAGGAGAATGCATAGGGATCAGAACTTATTTAGTAGTTACCAGAGTCTGGGAGGAGGTAAAAGTGGAGTGCTACTGCTTAAGAAACAAATGGTGCTATAGGATAAGCACTGAACTGCACGTTAAAACCTACCAGTCGCTCCCTGGAAACCCTGGACAGGGTTGCTATGAGTTGGAATCGATACAACAACACAATGATTTTTATATCTATATACACAATTATAAATATAAATTATATTTATATAAATTAGTATCAAGGATAAAAATTAATAGTATATTTTCAAATACTGTACAATATCTAGAAGACAGAATGATTTTTTCCCCATTTATACTAGTATTTGATCTAAACTTAAAAATAATAATTTTGTTTAAAAATTTGACAAAGACTGTAGTGCCAGATATGAAGTATAGGTGAAAATAATATCAGAATTCTTTCTTACTAATATTCACAAAAGCATTTAAAGAGACCTTAAGGGGAAGGACTTCAGCGGGGTACGCCTGTACTTTAAGTTTAAGAACCTTTTAAACATGGATGGAGAACTTCTTGCCCACAGGCCATATAATATAAGACCTGTGAAATCATTTGGTCTGGCCCTGCCAAGGCTACCACAGTTCCAGCCATCACATTTGGGATGAGTTAATTAAATATTTGACCAAATGTAGCAGGCTAATTTTTTAAAGATCAGACAAATCTGTGTTGGAAGAAGTGCTACTCAGAATCCAGGATGACCAGACTGTATACCGTAATTCAGACATATTGTCAAGGGGGGACCAGTCCCTGAAGAAGAACATAATGCTTGGTAAGATGTAGGGTCAGTAAAAAGAAGACCCCAATGAGAACGAGATCTATTGGCACAGTCGAAGCAGCAATGGGCTTAAGTGTAGCAATGATTGTTAGAATGCCGCAGTGTCTAATGCATCAAGTCTGTTCTTGAGTTGGTGTCTAAATTCACGTGGGATATATTCAATGTTGGGGTCCTCATGTGGTGCTTTAAGATAAGCACTGGACCGCAAGGTGAGTTGGAACCTACCAACCACTTCTTGGAAACCCTATACATGGTCGCTACAAGTCAGAACTCACTTGATGATACCTAACAGCAGCAACAATACTCTGTGTTGTATTTTGGCTTTCTTTGGATTTGTTGTAATTTTCTTCATCTTCAACCTTGACTTGCATATAAGTCGGGTACTTATTGATGGTGTGTTTCACAGTCAGCCCGGACATTGTTTTGACTGATGTATATTGAGCTCCTCCATTATCTCTTTCCACAATTGTAGTTAGTTTAATAACTGAGTATTCCTTTAGGTAAGGCTCACTTGTGTAATCGCCTTTTATGCTGTTGGTATTTGTAACCAGTAAGTCATTGGTCTTGCAAAATTCTATTATGTAATCTCCATTATTTCTGTCACTAATGCCTTGCTTTCCAACTACTGATCCTTCTTTGTGTCCAACTTTCACATTCCAATCACCGGTAATTTCAGTTGTATCTTGATTGTATGTTTCATCAGTTTCAGACTGAAGAGGTTGGTAGGATTCTTCAATTTCATCATCATTGACTTTAGTGGTTGGTACGTAAATTTGAATAATAGTGGTATCCATACACCTTAGAGGTATATGACTATTATCCTATCCTAAATAGTGTTATATTTCAAATAGATCTTGAAAAGCTGTTTTTACAGTGAATGCAATGCCATGCCTTTTCAATTAATTGTTTTTTGGCAGAGTAAACTGTATATGATTCAAAATGGCCAAATTCAGCTCACTTATAATGTCTTAAGACACCAACTTTTAAGTATTCCATTTCATTTTTGATGACTTCTACTTCATACATTCCATGTTCTGATTATTAATAGGTGTTTACATCTGTTTCTTCCCATTTTGAGTTGTGCCCCATCAGCAAATGAAGGTCTAAAAAGCTTTGCTGTTTTCCAGTCATATTTTGAGTCTTTTCCAGCTGAGTAGCTTGCCTTCCAGCACTGTCAGACAATGTCCCGCTGCTATTCATAAGGTGGTTTCATCAGCTAACCTTTTAGAACTAGTCTACCTCTCCTCTCTAGTCTTTGACAAGCGCTTCGAAGCTCCAATAAACTTGTCCACCATGGGTGGCCTTGTTGTTTGCTCTTTAGTAACTTGGAGTCAATTGTGACTCATAGCGACCCTATACATGGTTTCTGAGGAGCAGCTGGTGGGTTTAAACTACTGACCTTGTTGTTTGCAGTCCAGTGCTTATCTTACAGCACCACCCACACCAGTAGTTCGGTGGGTGGCTCTGCTGGTATTTACGATATTGGTGGCATAGCTTACAACATTACAGCAGCACTGATGTCACCACAGCACGACAAACTGACAGACTAGTAATGGTGCTAGCTTTACTTTATAAATTTCTATATATGGGCGGTTGTTGTAATCTATGGTTGTTGTCTGTTGTTGGTTCTCTGTCCAGGGAACCCCTTTAGCATATTTTGTGTAATTGATCTGGTTATTTAAAATTCCTTTGATTTCTGTTTACCTAATTATGCTATCATATGTGAAGGACATTTCCCTGGGTATGTGACTCTTTGTTTGTAGTTTTATTCTTTTAGAGCTTTATATATGTCATCTCATTACCTTCTTCTCTGTAGAAATCAGACTTTAATCCTACTGGTTCTCCTCTGTAGGTAACTTTTTGTTTTTCCTGAGCTGCTTTCAGGATTTTTTCTTTGTCTTTGGTTTTGGAAAATTTGAATATAATATGTCCTGGTTATTTTCCTTTGGTGTCTATCGTGTTAGTGGTTTGTTGAGCTTCTTGATAACAGGGACGCTTTCTCCTTC